CAATACAAAAATGAGTAATTGGTTTGATTACCTCATCCATTCTTCTTTGGAATATCCGTAGTGCATTTTTCAACCCAAATGACATCACATTCCATTCGTATTGTCCTAAAGGATTGAGGATACTAAAAGTTAATGATTTACTTTCTTCTGTAAGTATGATTTGCCAAAATCCTGACTTACAATCAAATTTTGAAAATATCTTTTTTGTTCTGTACTTGTTTAATAAGGGTGTCCTTATTTGGCAAGGAGTATCCATCAAATTTGGTAATTTCATTTAATTTTTTGTAATTTATCACCATTCTGGCTTTTCCTCTTTTTATCTCACTATGTTTCTAACCATAAATATTGGGCTGCTATGTGGACTTTTACTATGCCTAATTAATTTGGCTTCTAGCAATTCTTTTATCTGGTTTTTAAATTCCTTTTGGTCATCTACACTATATTTCATGAGTTTGACTCTAACAATAGTGTCTGGATTGGTTAATTCTATTTTTGCCTTTACTTTGTCCGTATTCCATTTTTCTAATGGATTTTCAGAATATGTTTTAGAAATTTCTTTTTTCGATTGTTCTAACCTATTTTCTGTTGTCATTTTTGTGACTGTAACTGGTTTAAATTTTTTTGTACTCCAACATCCACCACGCTGGGTTGAGGAACCCTGATAGTTTATGTCTTTATATGCAATTGTAACAACCTTGTTTATTTTTGGTGTAAGTATTTTGTGTGCACAGGGTGTTGTGAACATATACTTATTAATATATTGTGTAAATGGTGCATATTTTAATAGGAAATTTTTTCCTAATAAAATATCACATCCAATTGTGGTTGAAATATATATTGTATCAACAAATACTTCTCTAAAGAAAATTAGAAAAGGTACTTGTGTAGCATATTTGCTGTATATTACCTTATTTCCACCCGTTGTTGTAGCGGTAACAATCTTCTTTGAATTGTATTTCCAGTATTCAGATGATAGTACATTTGGTAAGCATAAACTTATTGTACTTCCTGTATCTAAGTAACCATGAAATTTAATTCTACAATGACTTTTTATATTGAGTGTAATTTCAATATATGGACTCATGGGATTAGTACTAATTACTCTTTCCATGATAACAATGATTTCATATTTTCATCTATCCTTGATATAATGATTGGATTATCATCAACTGTTATTTTTAAATATCCATTGCAGATTTTAT